CAAACAAACCCCAAACAGGCAGGTTGAGTGAGAATGATTTCTGGAGCCCGTGTCTCTGAGGAGTGCTTGGAAGTGTTGGATTTCATTTCAGAGGGCAGCTTTGGAAAGGAGCAGCCAGGGCAGCAGCGGCTCCTGGTGTGCATCGTTCTCGTTCCTTGCAAACTGCTGGAGCCGGGCTAATTCACTGCAGCCCGAGCTCTGGCTACCCTAAATGTAGTCACAGTTATCTGTGAGTCTTTCAAGCTCAGGGAAAAAGGAGGTAGAAATATTTCTGTACAGGCTCTCCCCTCGCATTTGGAAAAAAAAGCAAAGGGAAAGAAAAATATATGAAAGGATCCCCTAGCCTCCCCAAAAGCTCTGAAAAAAATGGTTCATACAAATTTTATGGGACCTCTGAGGACCTTGAATTTTTAAGTAATCTTTTTTGATGATTTTAGACAGACCATTAAGCTGAGGATAAAAGTCCCTCTGTTCAATATCTGGATACATTAAGCACTAGGCTTAAAATTTACAGCTTTCATTTTGACAAGAAAAATTGCATGTTTGGTCTCAAGTGCTACCTTGAACTGTTTTTCAACATTAAGACAGGTTGTCAGTTTGAGGGGAGGAGGTCTGGGCACCAGTGGCAGCTGCTGCTGCTCTTGTTGTGTGCACATGCAGGGACAGAGAGATGCAGCACTGCTGCCTGTCAAGAGCTGCAACTTGAGAATGCTTTGGTTTTTTCAAAGTAAATGGAAAATTATGCTGGTCCAGCGGAAGGCAGAAAGCAAAGAGGGTGTCATTTCTGACTGTAAATTTGAAAGAATCAAAACCAGGGGAAGATTTAAAATTGAGAATCATATTTCCAAGAAAGCTTTTGGGATTAGAGTAATGAAGTGTTTGACTTCCAGCTTCCCTGGTGCTTGTATTCCAGAATGACTTGCTCTTCTCAACATCTGAGCATCTTTTACCAAGAAGCAACCACTTTGAATTTTGTCCTGTGTCTGAAAGAGAGATAGAGAAGCAGACATATTTATTGGCAGTGTCCTCAGCTGGCAAGATACAGCAAGATGCCATTAGGAATCTGGTAGGGAGATTTTCTCTATGTTAATTCAGTGCGAAGCTAGTGCATAGCTGGTCTTAAAAGTATTTTGTTTGGGGAGAAAAACAGCCCAGGCCATTCAGCAGTGGAGGATCACAAATGCTATCTGCAGGCATTTCTTCTTCTGAGATTTGCCAAGGTTAACAGCTACTTTTGGTTTGGTGGATTATTAGGACCTAAAATAATTAGATAGAAGGGGCAGGGGGACAGTGACCATCTTGTTCAGGATCATGCCCTGGTCCCTGCCTCAGTTAAGGAAAGTGCCCATCTCACAAACCAGGTTTGCTGGGCTACATCACAGTTCAATGACTTTGTGTTTCAGTGAGGCAAGTGTTGAGGAAAGTTTGCAAAAATTTGCTTAATGGTAGTGGGTGAAGAGACAACTCCAGAAAGAGATTAGTTTTCTGTTGCTTGGCTGAAGTCAGTGAGTTTAAGAGAACAAAAATTAATCCATTAATTGGTCATCCTCCAAATTAAAGTAGAGATATAAAATAAAAACTGTAAAGAAATGCCTCTGGGCTTTTCCCATGTGAGTAGTTAGTAACTGCTGCCAGCATATATGCCCTGGTAATGGTCACAAATCTTAGGGCAAAAAAGCTTTGATAACCAGTCAAAGAAAGATCTGAAGCACCTATAAAACTGCATCCTCTCTAGCTGCAGGAGGCAACACATGATCAGGCCCTGCAAAAGCAAGAGGCATATGACTGTTTTGCTGGCATTAGTCTGCATTTATTGTCCCTGTTCTTATTAACTGCAAGCATCTTGTGATTTATCTGATACTTGAAAAGAAGGACAGAAACAAAAGGAGTTGTTGTTTGTTTATTTGTTTCTAGTTTTTTTCTTTGGAAGCAGTAAAATATTAACTCAGTGCAAGTACACTAGGCTGTTGTCTTCACACAGTCGAGAGATGACCTACCACCACAAATACCACTCACATGTTTCTCAGAGACATTAGATAGGAAAATATCTCTCAAGTCACAAGAGAGCTAAGAAAGTGAGCTGTAACAGGGTCAATTAAACAGGCTTAATTACCATGGATCTTGTGAGTACTTGCCACCCTTTGGGTAAAGGTTTCCAGCCTGATCCAGGATCACACGTTGGGTCAGGAGTACTTAGAAATACTTCCATGCAAAAACTGCAGTTTGATGATCAATAATTCAAAATGAAGAACACTCTTGCTGTCTCTGTCATTTCTAAAACATGACTGAAAATACCTAAGTGATTTAAAGTCAGTGGTCTTGATGAGCTGCTGCTTGGGATGGATGAAGTACTCTCAGAGCTGTCGCTGGCTTGATTTTGAGACACAAAAATTCTCAGGAAAAGGAACTGGGGTGTTTTGGCTCTGTTATCTTTCCTTTAAGTCCCAGAAAAATTCTGACAGAAGTAACCAATAAAATTCTTTGCAAGCAGAGAGAAGTTGACAAGATGAATAGCCACCAAATGGATTTGCCATGTCAAGGTGAAAAATCATGTCAAGGCAATCTAACTTCCTTTTGTGAGATGCTACCATACCCTGTGGATAAGGGAAAAGGAGAAGATGACATATTTGCATTTTATTTAGGCTTTTGTCAGTACCTTGTGACATTTTGATCAGTAACCTAATGCTGGTGAAATTGCTGTTTATAGGGCTGTTTATGGAGCAAAATCAGTTAGGAGACTGAATGTAGAGAATTACCAGGGGTTTGCTGTCAAAATAAAGGGGTGGATTTAAGGTGTTCTGCAGGAGTCCGTCCAGGGTGCAGAGCTAGTCAGTATTTCTGATGCAATTTGGGTGACAAAAGAGAGCACACTTAGTGAATTCCCACGTGACGTGGTGCTAGGAGAGACTGAGAGCACACAGAAGACCTAGATTAGAGCAGAAAGTACCCCTCATTTAAAAGAAATCCAATTTGATGGGAAGGGTTACATGTGTCACACTCAGGCTCATATGACCAGAAGTTCCAGCTAGGGGGAAAAGCCTTTGGTAGACGCTCTGTGGAGTAGGACCTGAGAGCGACAACAGAGCATAAGCCAAGTGTAAGTCAACAATGTCATGCTCTTGTGAAAAAGGCAAATATTTTGGAAAGGATCAACAGCAGTATAACCTGCATGACCCATAACATTTTTCTGCTTTTTTTGGCATCTGTAATATCTTAGCTTTAAGGCTATTGTGTAGTGCAAGTCAAGAAAGATGTGGACTGGCTGGAGAAAATACAGAAGAGAACAGTGATCGTGATCAGAGGCCCAGGAAATGTCACCTGTGAAGGGAAAGTAACTTAATTTCCCCCTAAGACTGGGGTGTATGTGGCAATGATATGCAACTACAGAAAAGCAGAGGGACAATGCAGGAGAGGTTGTGGGAACTCCATCACTGGGTCTCTTAGAGAAAACATAAATGTCAGGATTGATATGGGAAGATATGAGAAACCAGCCTGTTCCCTGGCAATGGCTGGGGATGCCATGTTAGGTGGAAGCCTCACACAGCTAGGATCTCAGTCATACCTAACTTTTTGAATGTAAATTTTTAGAAAACCTTTGGATTGCCTAATTTGAGGCTGGATGTCCTAGTTCAAACAGATAAAGAAACAGTCATCACTGTGTAACACTGAGAAATCCAGGGAGAGTTTATTTAACATGCACGTGTGCAGGGACTAACAATAATATTTCTAGAAAGAAACCTTTGGGTCTGACAGATGTATAGCTAAAGGTTCAGTTTGGAAGTTTGACTTTTATATATCTAAATACTGTAGAGTGGAAAATACTGCTGAGGAGTGTTGATATTATTTGCTCTGCTATAGTGGTCACAGGTCTGACTTATTCTTTGACTGCAAGCAAAGACAGAAAAATGAGGATCCCAAATCTAAAAAGGGCAGTATTTTAAAAAATCCTTCTAAATTCTGTTTTCAAAAGTGATCCAGGCACTTAAGAATCTACACACCACTGAATTTAAACTCACTTTTGAAAGCCTGATGGAGATGGGTTATCATCTTTGGATGGATTTCAAGCAGTGGGAATAGCTCCTGCAGTCACTTTCATTGCAAGAGTTGTGTGAATGTTTGTATTTGCCATCCAATTCCAAACTCATATTTGCAGGAGAATAAAACCAGAGAGAGTGTGGGACAGCAGATGAGTCTGAGGGCTCTAAATCATGAAAATCAGTGGTGTAGAACAGTCTGAGTGATCAGTACTGTCCATCTCACTGTGTTTTGCTATTTGACAGTTTCACTCCAGCCACTGTGAGACAAGTGGTCCTGGCAGAGAAATGCAGGGACAGAGACTGGAAGAGAGTTTCAGCTCCTCAGGGTATTTCACAGGACAGGTGAGCCTGGAGAGAAAGCCAAGATAAAAGTAACAGAAGTAGTAAACTCTGGGAAAAAAAAAAAAAAAAAAGAGGTAGGCAGGACATGATGCTAAAATGCTAAGAGCTGAAGGATCAGGATTTTTAACTGTGGGTCTCCATCACAATATTTCAGTTTTTCACACTGAAAAGGGCAGAGAAGGGCAAGTAGTTCTAAGTGAGCATCAACATGGAAGGTAACATCAGAAATACAGTGACAGATGGGAAGAAAGGGGGAAGATGAGATTTTACCTAGAGTAGATTGTATTGAGATGGAACAAAATTCCAGCAAATTAAAAAGCAGGGGCAGCAAGCTTGAAAAAAGAAGGGGAATTTCTGGGGAAGTCAGGAGAAGAGGAACTGGGGGCTGAAAAATTAGTATTATAAACATGTAAATCAAAATGATTGACACATAATTCAGTGAAATGGTCAATCCTTTTCTGCCTTCGCTGGGATTTAAATATATCTTTGCATGTGTTTGTAAGTGCCATTCCTGCATACTACCACTGTTGTCTCTTCATTTGGTGAACTGAACTACTGTGAGTTTTCTAAAATCTGACCAACACTAAATGACTGAAGCCAGAAGATAAATATCTGTCTTACCTTAAAAACATGCCAGCTTGTCAGACTCTTACTACAGCAACCAGCAGTGAACCATGCTGCTTTTCAGGAGATGTGTTTGCAGAATGGATCTGCAGCAACCCTGCATATGACAGCAGAAATGGCAGCACATCCTTCTGAAACTTGAGTTTGAGTGGAGTCTGAGCAGAGCATTTGCTTTTCTTCATAGCTTCGCTTCTTTTTCCTGATTCTATTGAGTGCAACCTATTTGTGCTTTGGACAAAAAACTGGGATTAGCTAGAGGAGTTTTAGTTGGCTGGCCATCAGTTCTAAATGGCAAAGAAAAAATATCTTCAAAGCAAACTGCATTTCAATAAAAAAAAAAAAAGAAAGGGACATGAAGACTTTACTTAGGTCATGAACGAAGAGAGAGAGAATAGCTGTGTCAACAATAATTTATTTTTAGGTTTTACCTTAATTCAAGTATAGGAAAATTAAGAATTTGTAATATATGCCCTTAAATATTCAGAAATCACTGTTGCATTGGTTGTGCAGTTTAGAGCAGCATTACATGAAGCAGGTCTCCATCTGGGTGATGGCCTTAACTCCAGGGGATTGTATGGAAAACACACAATATTGTAACTAAAATTTAAAATGTAATTTTCAGGGAAGAGGAAATAATGTTGTTTGTTTTATCTGTGTATGAGCTGAGGATATGGTGTATTGCCTATGGTGGCACAGCAAATTGGGCAGGAGTCCTGAATGGAAATGAATAATGGTGATAGCTCTGCAATCCTCTTCCAGTCACTAGGCAACTCTGCCTATCACAAATGCTGTGTAGTATCTTCAAACAAGTCCCAGTTTTGAATATTTTAATGGAACTTTCAAATAAATTTGCATGAGTTAAACATTAAAACCAAAGAAATTAAAAGACTCTGGCAAATTTGAAATTCCAGCTCTCACTCCTGAAGATAGCAGTTTTGGCATTCTTTTAAAATGCTGAAGGGGAGTTTGTGAATCTGGGCATCACACTGGGCTCTTAGAACCACATCTCTATTTCTGCCCACTAGAGGAGGATCAGGGCTAATAGGCATTTTTGGAGAAGACCTCTCATTAACCCAATATTATTTTATATTGCCTTATTACTTTCACTGCAGCTTTGCTTTCCTTTCTTATTGGTATTGCATCTTTAGTGTTACCCATCTCATTGCTTGAGTCACATGGGAATTTCTCTGCTGTTGCAAATAATGACAAGAAAGATAACAGCTTGTACTGCAGGGGGCATATACAATGATTCACAGGCTCTTGCAGGCCAGGTTTCAGTGGGTGCAATATGTAGACTGGCACAGCTGAGTTAATTCTATATGCAGTGGCTCCTGTTCATGTGTTCAGAAGCTGGAGATCCCAGCTGCCTTGTAGGTGAAAGTCACATCAATGCACATGTGTATTTATACATATATTTATGTTTGTTTGGCTCAGTGAGGATATCTGAGTGCTCATTTTGTTTTAGTTTTTGAACAGCAGTAAAAGAGAAAGCTCAGATAAAACAGAGTTTTTGCTTGCTGCCCAGCAACACTGCTCCTGGAAGGATGATCTCCCTGAAGAAAGGCAGAGAGTAAAAGAAGTTGCTCCTGTAGCAGCAATAGAAGAGAGATGAGTGAAGGGACACTAATCCTGCAATCCAGAAAAGGTTCCTGGGTAGCCTTTTTTAAGGAATTAATCATTGGTAAGCTGGCACGCATGCTGGATGAGGCAAAAGAGTTGGTGAGGGACCCTGCTGTCATAAATGTGTTTCTGGAAGAGAGCTGCACTGGGAAAATTGTGTGGAACAGGAGGAAGCCATAACTATGGACAGTCCCAAAGAAGCACACAAAGGCTGCACTGTGGGAAGGAGCAGCAAGCCTACCTGCACAAGTTCCACATTTCTTGCTTCTCATTTTCTGTGCATGTAGCTGCTTTTTATGACCCATTTATGACTCACCCTTCTTGGGCAATGGCAATCTACAGTGATGCTCCAAAATCTTGTTTATGAGAAATGGCCTCCTAGGTTCAGTGTTCCAAATTTACACCCTACCTTTCAGTGAATGTTGCTAAAGCAGGTCTCTTGCTAAGGAGCTCAAACTACAGACAGGGAGATAACAAGTTTTGCTGGTGGCCCAGGTCAGTCTTGGCATCCTATTGTTGTGCTTCATCTCTCCATTTGGCATAACTTTCTTTTCTGTTTTTCTCTTGCCTGTAAAATATTTAAGGGAGGTTTTCTCTTCAAGCAAGTTTAACACTATAATGTCTTTTCTGCTCATGGACCAGTGAGCACTCCAGCTTGTCAGTATTAAATTACTATCAAACTCTTTAGTACCTGTCTAATTAAAACAACTTACTTGCTGATCTCTTCATGCTAAAGCAAATGAAATCCTAAGAAGGAAAAGCAATATATCACTTAGATCAAAAGAAAATTAGTAACTATAACATAACCACCCCTTCTATTTTTTTCCTTTTTCTTGAAGTGGGGGAGGAGAATGGCAGGCAATTCCTGCTTTCAGATAAAAATATATGTTCAGTCACAACCTTCTCACTGATTCCCTGTACTAGCAAAATCCCTGGGTTCTACTGTAGTGAGATGGAAATTTCCATAGCTGAGAAGCATAATTCCAGGGATAGAGCATAGGGAGGGGAACAGGTGATGGCAAACTGAGGGAAGGGAGCACGATGGGGAAAGGGAATGCACCCCTGGAAAGTTTGGACTGAATGTTTTGCAATCGCTTTCTTGACTAAAGGAGGATGCTCTGTGAAAGTCCCCAGTCCTTTTGTTTGGTTCCATTAAATTGCCCAAGCATCCTTGGGGAGGGGGCTGTCTCAGCCTCTTTGATGCTCTTGGGTTATGGATAAAAATAGAAGAGAGAATACCTCCTTGTTCCCAGCCTATTTGCATAGTTCTTCCTAGAGCAGAATGGTCTGTTCTTCTTCCACCAACAAAGGCTCCATTTGTCTCAGGGTACAGACTTGTTCTATGAGGTCTTCCAATCTTTTCCCTTCTTTTTCCTTTTTTTTTTTTTTTTCCCCTTTCCCTGACCCGTTCTCTCACTGAGCTGTAACACACTTGCCTCTGGCTAGGAATATTAATGAGCATTTCTTTTCAAGAGCTTATGCAGATTCCACTTTGTGAATCAGCTGGCAAGAGGCGCTGTCCAAGGCACTTACCCAGAATGGTGCCCAGGGGCAGATCCTATGAGTGCATGGCATATCTCATTCCCCAGCCTGAGAAGAAAAGGTCAAGGAGTTGACTTTCAGTCTGGGGTGCCTTGGATGGCATGGAGGGCTCAGAGAGCCCTTCATACAACAAAGGTTATTTAAATAACTCCAATGTCTCCAAAAAATGTAAATGTGAAAAAAACCGGGGAACTTACCAGCTCAAGTGGTTCATTATTAACAGCATGAGTCTTTTCCTTTTGTTTGTTCAGATCTGCTCCAAGTCAGAAAAGACATAGAACATTAAAAGTGTCTAAGTAGGGTTCAGTAGCAGGTATGAAATTAATTTAGTTGGTTAAAGAAGAGTGCATTTTTTGGTAGAAGGCTCTTGACCACACTGCACAGTTTAATTGGATATAAACAGACTCGGGCAATGAAATTTAAAAATCCTGGGCAGAGTGGCCCACAAGTGTTCCACTCCTGTCTGCTTGAAAAGATGGTCCATTTATGAGGAGGGGTCTGGGTGACAGTACAGAGGAATGCACACTGCTTTTTATTTGAATCCAAATTGCTCTTTAATGGCATAAATCTATGTTTGTCCTCCTCTGCATCCTCCTGTCATCTTGGCCTTGGTGGTGGTGGCTCAGAACATTGGTCTTTATGCTAGAGATGTTTTTTTCAGTTGAGTTTTGCCCACCACTCCCAGCCATGGCACTGGGAGCATCAGTCAGCTTCTGGTTGACACAAAAAGTCTGAAAGAACAGACACCAAATAATCTGCTGGGAAATCTTTTCTAAAATGGGGCTAAATCTGATGCCAAGTGAAGGAGCAGTTTAAATTGCCTCAGGTAATCCTTCTCACTGGGGTTCTTAACCCTGGGAGGAGAGGTTGGCATAATTTGACTGCAAAAAATGGATAGTATTTTGCCTGTAGGTGTCCAAACCATCATGACTTTACCTAAGAAATAGAGTAAAGATAATTGTCAAAATCAGTGTTCTTAAAGGATTTGTATGGTTCCTTCCATCTTGTGTCCTGAACAGGATGATAACAAAAAGGATCACATTTTTTGCAATATTTTACTATTTTTAACTGTTTGTCCCACTGAAAACAGAAAAAAATAGGTTATTTAATATAAACATGGATGAAGAAAAGTAAAACTGAACTGGAGTTTTTCTTTCATTTGCATCCTTTCATCTGCCAACATGGGTCAATTCCTGTTCAAACTCTTGATTCATTCCTGGGCTGAGATATAGGGCTTATCAAATTCTATCAGATTTCAGATAGCCACTAGATAAGCCCCTCCTCTGTACTGCTCGAGGAAAAGAAGTGGTGATCCAAGGATTTGGCAGGCCGTGGAAAACTAAACTTTAGTTCTGTGTTCTGCTGCAGGGCTTCACTCAGTTTTGGGCCACTTCCTTAATCTCTATATGATGAAGCATCTCCTGCAAAATTAAGGCTAATAGCATAAACAGGCATGTTCTGACAATATATACAAACTTTTTGACAGGAATGGAGTGACATTAGCAAAATCCAAGGTTGGATTTCAGGAAATTTCTATTATGTGTGAAGCCAACAAAAATCAAGCTCCTAGAGCTCAATGTGTTAATGATCCCAAATCACCAACAGGAATCATTGCCTAAGAAATGGTATTATTCGGAAGGGAGGACAGAGAACTCTAAACTTTTGTAGCCCAGTGCTGTAAGCTGTTGCGATCCATTTAGGTGACCACTCCCCAGGCAGTGTCACACAAAATTATTTGGCCTAAAGCTCTTTGGGCTTTTACAGTTAACAGGTATTCTTCACAAAGCCACAAAGAACACTCATTTTTTTTCTGCTGTATCTGAGCAGAGGGGAAAAAACCCAAAAATGAAGGGCTCATGAGTGGAGATAAAGTTTAGGAGAAACAACCCTATGGGCAAAACCAGCTCAAACTTAAAGGTACAAAGCAAATTTATTATTAACAGAGCCAGAGGAGGATAATGAGGAATAAGAGAAACCTTTACAACACATCCCCAGCCCCTCCCTCCTTCCCATCAACAGCACAGGGAGACAGGGTGTGGGAGCTTTGGTCAGTTCTTCACTCAAAATCTCTCTTCAGTTTGCTCAGGGAGGGGAGTCTCTTTCTTCTGTTATGCCATGGAGTCCTTCCAGAGGAAACTAACATAAAGACTGATTACACTTAGGAAAAAAATTGCATTGTAGCTGTAGTAGATGATATAGCAAAAAATGCAAGCAAAATTACTAAAACCGTCATAGGAGTTCAGTGCAGCATGATACTGCTGGAGAGAGGAAGATTTAAATACCAGTAGTGAGAATATGGAAGCAATATCCCTA